GGATTCTTGCTTTGTCTTTGATAAAAAAGAAGAGAGATCTATTTTGATACTTTTTTCATAAAAAATGAATAAAGATTAGATTTGCAAAATATTAAATTTCTATGGTTTTCTCTTTCTATAATTTATTGTTAATACAAAATTACTAATTAAAACTAATCAAAATTAATATGGACACGTTGTATCTATAACTTTCTCAAATAAATTTTCGAACAATCTCTTCTACTCTCTACCCTTCGATTCACATTTCTCTTATCCTACTTTCCTCCCCTATAGAACGTCTTATAGTAATCCATTCAGGTTCGAAACGCATGAAGACACGCCGTCCTTAAGACACGCTCTACGGATTCCAATCTTTCCATCCCTTGCACAACGATACAACACTCCCCCTTCCCCGATTCGAAAAAGTGTACCGCAAACAAACGGTAAGGCAACTCGGATAAGGTCGGTTGGGATCCATTACGCGTCTAATTAAAAGTTTACCCTGCAATGTTCGAGCCTTTGCCGTGTAATATCCGTTGGAGAAGGAGGTAGGGCGGAATTAAAGTCGAACAGGCGCGAATTAAGGAGGCCTCGATTTCTCTCCGCGTAGGCGGTCGTTTGCATCGATGAGAAAAAAAGAGGGAAGAGAGAGAGAGAGAGAGAGAGAGAGAGAGAGAGAGAGAGAGAGAGAGAGAGAGAGAACTGGTCAAAGGGAGCTTTGGATCGAATCTTCCTTTTCGACGAACCTTTTCGCAAATGAGAAAAAGAAAGAGAAAGGTGTGCGTCTCGAGGAAGGATATAATTGCAGGAAATGGAGATTGAAATATCGGATTTTTTTTTCTCAAGGATTTCGAGATAAAGATGATCGATTGGATCTGCGCTGTTTTAGTAGCGTGACAAATTTTTGCGAATCGTAATTCTTTTAATTTTAGGGAACTAAAACGAGATATCGAAGTCCAATGAAAAGATTTCGAGTCTTTGATATCTTTTTTTCCTTTTTTGAAATTCTTAACTCGTTACTTGGAAACGTGCGAATTCTAGGATGATTTAAAGAATTAATAATTAGAACAACGATATATTTTTTTAATAAAAAAATAAAGGCGAATGATAATTCATTCTCTGAAATAACTTCTAATTTTTTTACGAAATGAAAATTGAAATTAAACGACTGTTGTGTTTCGTGAAATAATTTAGAAGATTCTATTGATGAAAATAAAAATTATGAACAAGCGTTGACTGCTCTTCGAAAGTATTAAAAATCTAAAAATCTAAATCTAATAACCACGCAATATCAAAAATATATATACGATGAAAATTCATTAAACGAAAAAGATAAAAGCTTCTTGAAATTCGAAAAATAGGTCGATGCATTATTTCACAACATAGTGAAGTAATTCTTCGATAAAAGTGAAATGCACTTAAATCAAGGAGATCCTTCCTTGAAATACGAATACCGTGAATTCGTTGAGGTTACATTGACAACAGAGTAGTCTGCCAATAAAAGCGAGGAGACTTTTCCAGCAAAGTAAAATAGACTTGTATATAATCAGACAAACCGTGTACGATTGCGCTAAATGTTATGCAGTGGAATGAGACCGTGCATAGTAGGACAAGTAGAGCATGACGATTTCTCTACTTGTATCAGTGAAATTGGTCGATACACGACGAATATGATTAAAGTAATAAAATAATTTTATTACTTTATTATTCGTAATTTATATTATTTTTAATATTTTTATCGATATTATAAATGAATTTTAATAATTTCGTAATGTTAAAAATAAAAAAAAATATAATATTATATAATATTATATAATAAAATATTATATAATATTATTGGATCTGGTTGGAATTCGTTTTTCGAACGCGTTTTTATTTACAATAATTAATTTATAATTATTTAAACAAAACAAAATTAATTTATTAAATAATATAATTTTCTCGCGAGGAGCAGAGAGAAAACACGTCCGCTCTGCTCCGCGTTCGAAACACGACTCCGTTAAATCCGATATTATCGATATCAATGACAATCATTATTATTGTTTCTTACGCCGCGATTTATGTCGTTCCACGCTATATCTCGTCGTAATAATATTACACACGAGTAAAATTTATAAATAGACTGTGAAATTTTTATTTATATTTAATATATATTTTTATATTAATATTAATATTATAATTAAATATATAATATATTTTTTATATTAATACATATTTTATATATTTATATATTTTATTTATATTATTTATATTATTTATTTATATTAATATATATTTTTTAAATTTTTATTTGCATAATTTATATTAAACAATATATAAATAAATAATCAAGCAAATATCGAGTGAAATATTTTTTCAAACACACGATAAAAAGATTTCTTATTATAAAAAATGCATAAAAGAAATCTGCAATAAAAAACGAATGCAACAACGAAGTATTAAGACAAACGAAATATTGAAGTTTTAATTTTCAATTTTAAAAATTAATAAACTTTTCAAATAAACGATAATATCTAATAAAATCAATTCGCAAATATATTATTTAATTATTACACAATAAAAATATCTCGATCTCCCTGTAAAACCATTTCTTTGAAAGACCCATCTCTTTAAAAAAAAAAAAAAAAGAAAGAGAGGAAAACGACGCGTATCGTTCTCAATTTAACCAAGTTACAATTTCTCCTCCTCCTCCTCTTCCTCCTCCTCTTCCTCCTCCTCCTCTTCCTACTCCCGCCCGGAAACGTGGTTTCATCGTTTCACGGGGACGACATGTCGATCCAAAACGATCGAACATGGAAACAGTCTGGTAGTATTACTAGACAGAGAGAGAGAGAAAGAGAGAGATAGACGTGAGGACAAATCCTTATCGGTTTTACACGTCAAAAGGTAATCGCGATTTCGCGGGGTGCGCGATGGTCGACGGGGTTAATGGAGAGGAGAAGGGGGGAGGGGATTCGATCCCCGATGCGGTATGCTCCCTGAAACGACCAATATCGCTTGTCGACTATTTCCACGCGGATGCAATTGCGCCACCCATTGAACCGTGCCCGCCGCGGCACACGCTCTACATCAAAGAAACGAATCATTTCGGCGAAAATCCCGGATTGCCTCCTTGCGTTCAATGACGGAATTAGTTTCAATCTCTATCTCTCTCTCTCTCTCTTTTTCTCTAATGGTCAACCCTCTCGCGACTTGGAAATCTATTTTCGACCTTTCAGAGGGGAAAAGAGGCTTTTGGACGCAAGATCGTTCTTTGAGAAATTGATTTTTGCCTCGACATTCATTGTGTTGAATGCGATTATACGTGGAACACGGGATTGTTGGGTTTGTCTTTTTAAATATTTGAAAAATAATGGATTTTGTACTTATTTGTTAAGGGTTTTATAACAATAAAATTGTGTGCTAATTTTTGTTTAATTCTTCTTATTTCGTTGTACGAAAGAAAGGAATTGCAGGTTATTTGAGTGTTACAAAAGGGAGAATTACAGCCCAATACGATATAATAGAATGTAAATTCGTGTCATTATAAAACGCGTATTTTCAATCGTAATGTTTATGCATTTATGCAAAATTTGTAAAAACCTACGGAATAATATGCAAAAGAGCATATTTAAAGCGCGGATTATAATATTTGAATAATAAATCACTATTTAAGATCACCGTTTCTTTTCTCGTATCCATGAAAATCGTATCTTGCATCCGATCATCCTTTGAAATACAAATAACTGCGTCAAAATTGAATCAATACTACTTCTCAAGAACGATTAATTTACTGTAACAAAAATTGTAAAAAAAAAAAAAAAAAATTCAATCAATCGCGAGAAGAAATAAGAGTAAAGCTTTTAAAATTCCATCGAAATCGATTGGCGCAAAAGACGAGATATGAAAAAAGAATCTACAAAATTTTAAAGAATGATCGAAATGAATGTATTTGCAAGGAGTTGCAAATCCAAGTAAAAAATAATAATAATCCAAATACTTAAAAAATATCGATCGATAATTTAATACGCACATCATCGAAAGTGATCCTGTTTCCCTGAATAATAAAAATCGGCATCACCTATATTTTCCCGCGCGGAGAAGGAACATTGACGGTGAACAATATCGTAAAACGCGACGGAATCGGATATTCCTCCACCGGAAGCGGGTCTTAAAATTTAATAAGGCGAAACTGCGCGCGTTCCAAGGCGTCAATACGCTTGGCGGATTACGGGGGACGTGGCGTGATATCGATGCACGAAAGAAGGAAAGAAAGAAAGAAAGAAAGGGAGGAGGGGGGAAGGGGATAGAGAAGCACCTCAGAATTTTTCCACGTCGTCGATCGTGACTGCGAACGATATAGTTTAATTCTGACGAACGTGAATCCTCGAACGTCGTTTACAAGCCATTTTCTTTTTCTCTCTCTCTCTCTCTTTCTCATCTTTTTAATATCGAGCCACGCTCACAATCCGTGAATACCGTTCCTCGAAGCTTCGTTTCTTAAATCGTTCTTCTTTTTTCTTTTCTCTCTCTCTCTCTCTCTCTCTCTCTCTCTCTCTCTCTCTCTCTCTCTCTCTTTCCTTTAATCTCTATTTTCCGAGGAACGAAGCAATCGCATCGCGCCAGAAGAAATTGAAATCGATTGGAAGTAAAGGGTGTTGTTAAGTGGAGGAGGATCGAAGGTCTTGGGAATTAATAAAGTGGTTTATTGTACTTAAACGGGCGTAATAAAATATCGATTGATATAACGAGGTTTGATTTGTAATTGGAGGGATGAGAGGGGGGGAAATGGGATGACACTTACATTTATAGATGGATTAGTAAAGAAACAATAAGTTTAATTTGTATTGCTTGTAAAATGAATTTAATTCGACGAAGAAAAATAATAATTTTAATTTAGAAAATCACGAAATTTGAATTTGTTTCTTTCTTTTCCTTTGAATTACTAATGAAATTTAATTTATTTTATAATATTTTTAATAATTTATTAGACGCTTGGAAATTTCTCTTTTTGATAACATGTTTTTTTCTTTTCTTTTCAGGTGAACTTTGTCGTCCACTGAATTGCAAGAAGAAGGATTTGTGTCTTCTTAAGGATACATTCACTGCTGTTTGTGTTTCCAAGAAGGAACTTGAAAAATCAGGGTAAGTGACTTATATATAAGATACAAGATAATTCTGATAACGAACAATTTTTATAAAAAATTTTCCCCATTTCCTCGTTGATACGTGTCTTGAATTGATCCTTTCGCAATCCCGTTCTCCTATCTGAAATTCTAGCTAGAAATTAGCTAGCGTGAAGCTTGGACACCACACTGAACAGTGATTGACGTATCATAAGACCCTCGAGATTGCCAGAGATTCAAACTAGGACCATGAGATTGCAAGATGCTTTCCAAATTAATCACGTGATGCTTGTATCACAATGTGTCTTGAACGTGTGCAAGATCTAAGAATCCTCCTTTCCAATCTTTCTCCAAATTTTCTCCTTGAATTAAAATATTATATTCAAATCATTTCAATCTTCATTATTCAAACTCTCTTACTGCACTCTCTGTGTATATTTTCAACAATGTTTTCCTTTACCATGCAGTGAAAATAATATTCAATCTTCATAAATTAATATATAATATTCAATCCGAAATCAAGAAGAAATCATTGAGATAAAAAGCATTGAAAAATTATTCTCCTCCTCGTCTAAGTAACAATGGAACTTCCACCGCGTATTTCAAATTTTTCCCAAACTCGGTTGATAGATCCAATCCAATCCGGCCATCTCTGCAGACGATCAAAATAAACAGTTCTGTCAGAATTAATCGTTTCGATCACCCCGCCCCGTCCATAGGCTTGTCCGCGGCCAATGATTAACGACGATATTATCCAGCGGCGGCATTAAACCGAGCGAGAGGAGGGGACGCGTGGAAAGGGAAAGAGAAACAGTGACAAAGGTGAGGCGATCATTGATTTCCGAGCGTGCTTATTGCCAGTTAAACAGTGATTGCAGCTTTCCACGTGGATATGGTGGCATTCACCTGGAATTTATCTTGAACGCGCGAGACATTGAACGGCCTTCACGGCAGATTAACGGCAGAGGACGTCATAATTGTTCCTGGCTGCTCTTCTGCCCGCTTCGAGCAACGATCTGCGCGAATTCGAGGGCTTATTATTAACGGAATTATAACTGAGGGAGGGATAAGGGGTGGAGGAAGGGGTTTGCTGCACGACAACGTTGATCGGGATTAGATGAGGTGCGAATGATGGCGTGAAATGTGTCTGGATCAGTCGCGATAGTTGTGACACGTTTAATTGATCCGAAGTGATCGTGTCTGGTAATGGTATGGAAATGTTTGGAAGATGTGACGGAGGTTGAAACATTATCGACAGCTGTAAGGTATTGTTAGCATTATAAACGTTGGAACGTTTTTGATCATACGGAGCGTGGATTTTTTAATCTTTTTTTTTTTTTTGAATTATGTATTTATACAGTAGAATTTTTATAATTTTTATTTTGATATAATTATTAATCGAGTTATGATATTGTGGAATATAATATTGGTATAAGTAATAATACATTTTGTAGATATCTGAGTCGTATTGGAAATTATCAATTTTATTTTTAAATAAATATTTCATAAGAAATGTTTCAAATGTTTGGAGGAAGAAATATTGATATATAATAAAAAATATTGATATATAATTTTTAATTTGTTAGAGATGTTTTAGAGAAACGTTGTATGTTATTTTAAAATCATTTCAATCGTTGAAATTTAATCAACATCAAAATGTTCAAAGCACGCTTTCTAATTTCTCGAGACAGTTCCATAGATTCATCAGCTTCGTGACTTTATTACCTGGATCATCTCATCGGTCACCATCAAACTTTATCTTCCACTCCGCTCCCATATTCCATTTTCCCCAGAAATACAAATTCGGCCATTCCGTTCAATCAAGTTCCATCGGATTCAATCCGATTTAACTATCCTTTCAAACAAGTTACATTAAACTTCCGTTACTTGTTGCTAAAATAATATATGTCAATTTCCAACTTTAATCAACTAATCCAAAGACACCAAGTTGCCAACTGTTATACAAATTTGAATACTCGATAATAGTACAATTAATAAATAAAATTTGTGATCCGCCAATTAATATTTTTCAATCTCCATTAATTTTTCAAAATTAAAACGAATTATATAAATGATTAAATTAAAAAAAAAAACGTCTTAAACGTCTTTAAATCGAGGGTATCATAATCATAAATCTTATCTAATCATAAAACTTCTCTCAACCTCGTTTGACGTAATTTTACTATTTTTCAAAAAAAAAAATTCTCACAGCAACACGAATAACGTGCATCGTTTCCTAACTTGATCGAAACATCTCGATATAATTTTGAAACAATTTTCCACGTCGTTTTTTTCCAACATTGAAAAAACGTTTAAGAAAAATAATTCAGAGACTCATCCCTTATATGATTCGAGATATAATTTTCAATTTTCGCGGCAACATTGTTGAAACGACACCAGAAATCGTAGATTTACACAAGGAAATCGTTATTTCGTCTTCTCGGAGTTTTGTCTCTGATTTTTCTTCTCCCCCATGTAAAATATTATAAAACGGAGCCGATATTATACGGTTCAACGAAAGAAGACGAAGGAAGACAAATAGACGAGCTCTCTCTCTCTTCCTCTTTCTGGCGAGTAAACGCGAGCACGAAACATGTTATGAGTAAAAATTTTCCATTGGACCGTGCAAACTCAACGTCGTTATCGACGATAGAGAATTTTTCCCTAGGAAAATCTTCTCCTCTCTCTCGCGCCCGCTGACCTCTCGTGTCCCCCCCTCTCCCTCCCTCCGTGATCCATTCTCCGTCGACGAGAAATTATATTCGAAAGCGTTCCATTTGCCGTAGCCAGGAAATCGCTTTTAACTTATTCCATTCCCGGAGAGAGCGACTCCAGCATCTTGACACGGTGGATCTGCTTAAATTTTTAAAATTCGCCCAACCCTCTTTTGCATCGAGGACACGTTGGATCGAGAATGTTCACGCCTGTCTGAAAGATTAAACCTGTTTTTTTTTTTTTTTTTTTTAGCTTATTCCATTCGATTATTTCCTCAAGTTCTAAAATTATTATTTTTTTTTTTTTTTTTTAAATATTCACATCCTTGTTATTTTATAATGTGATATTTTCGAATTGAAATTGAGTAAATTGTTGAGGATAGTTAGACAAATTTCATATTTCAATTATTTGTTATTTGTTATTATTGTTATATTGTTTTCATTGTTACGAATAATTATTGGAAAGTTTTCTTGTGTACTTCTTGCGTTTGATGGTTAAAATTTTTATGATTATTATTCCAAGTTTCTTGTTTTACGTTCCTTGTGGCTTTATTACAAAAATTTCTTATACTTCATTAAATTTCTTGCGAAAGAAAATTTTATCTCGTTAAAAAAAAAGTGATTCAATAATAATTATCGTAAAAATATTCTGTATTTTGATATACGTGACCGTATAATTGAACATAATTTTCTAAAAGAAAAAAAAATGAAATTGCAAATCGAATATTTATTTATTTTTTTTTTTAATTATAAAATATTCGTACGAAAATTAAAATAATTTTATTGTTTCTCGGTTTACGTTCACGGTAATAAATTATCATTAATTTCGATGTTTTAAGCTTCGGATAATTCGTGATTTACGGGACCACGATTTTCAATGGTGGAAATTTGGTGGAAAAAGCACATTGACCTTTCAAATTCGTGGAGGAAGAAGCGGTCGGAAGCCGGATCAAACACGGACCGTTTCTACTTGATGATTCTCCTTTTTTTTTTTTTTTGTTTTCACAGAGACATAGTAATCCCGAAATCCAGGGCGGTTCAGCAGAATCGACGAATGAGAACGGAAACTTCGGTCGACACGGAGGACGACGATGCCTTCTTCGATTCCGAGGACGATGACGAGGATCAGGACGAGTCCAAGTAAGTGTTCACGTTTTATTGTTAATTATTATAATGGATGTTATTATATATTCAGAGAAAGAAATTTAATTGCGTGTGCATAAATGGTTGAACAAATTTTTATTCAAATTCTATTTTAATAGCTGTTTTTATTAATAAAAATATGAGTAAAAAAATTATAATAATTTCTAAATAATAATATTAAGTTTTATTAAATTTGAAGATCAATTTAATAATTTAATATTCTTTCTAACAAAATTTCCATTGATATGTTAAAAAAAAACTTATATAATATAATGTATATAATATCATTAAAATTTTTGTTGCAATATTTCAAAATTTTTAAGCTACATATAATAACAACAAACGAAATTTCATCGTTAATTAATTATAGACACGAACACTTTAACAATTTATTTCTCTCTCTGTCTGTAAATTTCGAAATGTTTTTTTCTTTCTGCTACATTAATTAAAAATTCTATTTTTTCCTGTCAAGTTGGAAACAATTTTTCATTCACGCTTGCCTAAATTACCAAAAAAAAAAAAAAACGAGAAAGAAAAATGGAAAATTTAATTAACTCATATTCTAAACAAAGATTGGGATAAACTTTTTTTTTTTTTCAAAAAGAAAATCACAAAAACAACGACTATAAACAAAAACTTCAAACGAAAAATATTCAGAAATGGAAGATAGAGAGGTCTGGGGAAAAGAAATGAAGAAATTTTTTTTTCTCAAACCGAACTAATCCGAAAAGTTCTTCCGTCTGACTTCGTTATTAAAAGAAGAGAAGACTTGAATTTCGAGGATGGAGAGGGGAGTGGTTGAGGGTAAGAGAGATCCGCTTCCGCCGTTGTTTACTTTTTCCTGGCCACGTAAAATATCCTCCACGGGGGCAACAAACTTTCAATGTCCGGAATAAAACATCTCGATATCGAGATATCGAGAAAGCTTTACGTTCGAACAATTTGAATTTCCTCCGTCAATTTATTTCTATTCCTGAAAGGAGATATCGTCGTTTTATCAAATTTAACGGATATCGTAGGAATATTGCTTTTCAAATATATCATTTCGAGGATTTATAAAATAAATGACCGATAGCAATTATTGCATAGGATTTCCTTTTTATCTGAATAAAATTTTTTAAGGGAAAAAATTATGTTTTTACGTATAAGTTATTTAAAATATATTATATAATAGTCTTTTTTTTATGTAAATGGAATTATAGAATTTTTTAATTTAATAATTTATGTAGAAGATATTAATTAACTTGAAATGTTAATTAACTTGATTCAAAAAATAAGAATAACCAATTTATTAATAATTCTAAATGATAATAATCTCATTAAATATTCTAATTATAATTCTATCAACAAGCAGTTATTAAATATTAAATTGTCCTTTCCTGACTGGTTAAAAAATTCGTTTTTCAAACTCGAATTAAATCCATTTTATTCTTTTTCTATTTAAATGAAGGAAGAAAAGAGAAAGTGAATCATTGATCATTTTATCTCGCGTATCAATGTTCACAGTTTCGTTCACAAACTGTCTCCCTCGAACGATAAATAAAAATATATATATATACACACATTGTACAGGGATCGTATAGAAAAAAGAGGAGGAACAATGACGAATGCACGAATAATTCGGTTTAATTGGTTCCTCTGTTCCCGCGTAAGTATCGCACGCGTGTATTGTTTCTTTTTGAAACAACCGTAAAGGAGAAAGAGAGAGGAAAAACGTGAAATGCGCGCGTAAAAATAACAAAGAAAAATGGAGTGAGAAAAGAGAGAGGGAGTGAAATATATCGGACGAGTCCCAGCGGACGAGTACAGCAAGGCATGTTTTGTTTTTCACGAGACATTAAGCCGGAATTATTGGTTTCGACGGTTCTCCTCGCGTATCGAACGCAATTCCCCTCCCCACACCACGGTACACGGTGAATAAAAGGTTAGCTTTATGGGTCACGTTTTCACGGATGCTCGCCCCTTAAGTTCCAGTGCGATCATCCGAACGTGGAAGAAAGGAGACGGTGCCTTACTTTCCGCCTCGAGTGTCGCGTTTGATGGTATTCCACAACGTGTGGAAATGCGCGGGGAGAATATATTCTTCTTTCTCAACGAGAGGAAAGTAAGAGAATGTGAAGAGGGGTTACTTTAATCGATTATATCAAATAATTTTATAGATTTCTTCTTTAACAACTAATTATCAGAAATATTGGATAATCAACAATGAAAAATACAATACGATTCTTTCTATCATTTCCAAAGTCTTCTTTATTATTATTTTTAAGATATTTACACATTTGTGAGTAAAAAACTTGAATAACATAATAAGATATTTAATTTCGGATCTAATTATTATTTATCGTTTCAATATAGATCCGACATCTAACCCCATCGAGGAATAACCTTAATCCAGTTTCTTCTGTCCGCAAGAAATAGCCCCGACACAGAAATAGAACGCGAAAAAAAAGCACGAGAACATTTGCAACCTGAATTCGCGAGACACGTACTCCACCCGTCTATATACCGAATAATCAAATATGCAAGACGAGGAACGTAACAATCTTTTCCCAGAGACGAAAAGAGAGCAGCAGACTGCCGGCCGAATCCAATATTGTCTTTCCTGAAACGAGTTTCCCTTATAAATCCCTATATATATATATATATATATATATATACATATCCGCGGTAACCGCCAACGACTCACGGTGTTGCACCTTCGAAAGGAATAAAAAATGAATTTCGAACGACACCGTCGAGGCGGAAGAAGAATAACCGAAAGGGGTTACGTTGGAGGAGGAGGAGAAAAGGGACACGTGGAAACCGAGATGCGTTTACTTTAGCGCGGAGCCACGTCAAATGGGACATTTTGCGACGAGGGGGGGAGAGAGGTTTTGAAAAGAGGGGGAGGAGAGAGAGAGAGAGAGAGAGAGAGAGAAGGAGGGAGAGGAAAGAAAAATTCCACGGGGAAAACAGGTCGGGGAAAGCTGGAACGAAAAGAAGGGGGAGAGGGGAGGGGAGAAGAGGTAGATGGAAAAAGGCAGCGAAACATTTCTTCCTACTTAAATTTGCACGAGCGAGCAGAGCAAAGAGGGTTTTCCATCCAGAGCCCCTCTCATTCCGTTCCTCTGTTTCCTCTCTTTTTTAATATCTCCGCCCTGTGTCTCTCGCGTTCCTCTTCCTTTCCTTTATTCGTTGGTTAAGTAGTTTTCGCTACTTCTGTCCCATTCCCAACCGTGTCCTTTGAGAATAAGTCGTAATGTCGCCGTAAGGATAATATTGAACGAGAAACAAAGTCTAATTGGAAGGTATGGTGGTTAAACGATGGACTGATTTTTTTCAGATCGATGAAAGAATTTTTGAACGCAGTTAGAATTAGTTTTGTAGTTTTGTGTTTGATTTTGTAACTCAGATTAGAGATAAATTTTGTATTTTGTTCGTTACGTGCAAAAATTATTGTGGATAAATTATCTGTGGATAAACATTGATCGATGGTTTTCATTAACAATCCGGGCAAAATTTTATTTTATTTTTTCTTTTTTTTATCCTTGAATTTTTACTTTTTGTCGAAGCACAATTGCATGACAAATATATAAACATCAATTCTCAAATAAAATCGTCAAATATATTCATACTTCAAATATACAGTGGTGAAAGTAGAAAAAATTCTTAATTGTAGCTATAAAGGAAAAAATGTTTATTTTTCCTTTTTTTCATATAGAAATGTATATATATATATATATATTATATAAAGAAATAGAAATAAAATTTCTTCTCGGTTAAATTATCAAATTTTTACATTGATAACAAAATTTCAGAAGTATAGGATCCAGTTTATCATTTTAAAAATCACATTTTAAAAAATTGAAAATATGTTACCTCTTTTTATTTCTTCATCATTGATATTCAAGAATAAGATTATTGTAATTACACGAAGAAAAAACTACGATTAAATATCAAAAATTCTTCATGATACAACGAAATCCACTATGTCCAAGTTTCCACTGCGCGGGTGTCGTTCCACTGTATGGCGCGCCATGTCTGACCGGGCACGGTTTTATTGTACTTGTCCGGAGATACGCTGACCCGTTCTACTTGTCGCGCGCAGTCGAACGCGCGATTTTCCATTGTGCTCGAAGGTGTTTAATGGTTTGTTCTACTTGTCGACCGGCATGCCGTGCCGCGCTTTTGTTCCGTTTAAGGGCGCTTCCAGCTGTGACGTGTTTTTACTGACGATCGTGGAGGAATTGAATTGTTGAAAGTTGAAGTTAAATTGTTGAGATCCCAATTTTGAAATGGGAAAAACATTTGGAAAATGAAAGACGCGAAATTTTTGAAAAATTTAGGGGGAAAAAATCAAATATTGGTATTGTAATTCGATGTTTTGTAACTTGATACGTTTGTAGTAAAATTTAAAAGGGAGAAGGATTATTAAAGATATTCGGAAGAGAGGTTAAGATACGTTTATAATATATACAAAGGGAAATTACACGTTGGAAACTGGACGAGGATGTAGGAAAAAAGCATAAAATACTTTATGACGTTGTTAATTAAACTTCATATTAAATTTCACTTCGCCTTTCTCGCTTTTACCTTATGATGTAATAAAAGAAGAACTTATTTAATTTCGTTTATGATATACGGGCTGTAATGATTTTTAATATATTTAAATGAAATTTGTTTCGCGAATTTTGTAATATAAATAACAACGTGTAATAAAATTTTAATTAACTAACTTTAAAATTATATGATTATTTCTAAAAATATTATATACTACGAGTTATTTAACGTAATTGTACCGTTCGCACCATCTACCGAGTAATTTCGTAAATGTAACACTGTTGCACGAATCTTTTTATTTCCATTTCGTCTTTTTTTACGAAACCAACGTGATCTTGTGAATCAAAATATTAAAAAAAAAAAGTTATAAAGATGTAAAATTATTTCTATATAATTTTTTCACTCGGAAATTAATAATTCATAATTAATTTTTGAATTATGTAAATAAATGATTAAAT